CGGTGGCCACACATGGGGGAACTTTGCTGATACGTTTTGTGACAACTCATGACAGGCTATAACAAAAGAGATCAGGAGAAGTCTTTAGACCATCTACCGTGTTTAAATCCATTTTGAGGCAGATGAATACCCTAGACGAGCACTGTTTTCCAGATTTCTCTCTAAGGCCTTTCCATCTTTTTTTTCTTATCGCTATACTCAGTTTAATTAGCAGCAACATGGCATTTGTGCAGGCTGTTCAACTCTCTTGAATGCTTTTTTTCATTCTGTACCTTAAGCAGCGTGATGCACCTGGGCTTCTCCAGCAATGGAAACCTACAAGGCTAAAGTTTGGGCAGCGATGCTTCCTCCAGTCAGGACGTTCTGTCCTTATTGACATTAAACAGTGCCCTTCCCTAAAAAAGCTGCTTTGAGCTGGGTTGAAGGTGGTGTGGAGCATTAAAGACTGCATAGATCCAGTTGAGGCTGGTCAATGGAGTTTGCTACGGGTGATGGGCAGATCAGTCAAGCTCTGTACGTCCTTTGCATCATAAGCACATAGTGTCTCACTTTCTCATTCAGTAAACATAGTCTCTTGGCAAGGAAATGTCACATTGAAAGTAAAATCAGTAGCTTACCTTTCCCCATAAGGGGAATTGTGACGTTACGTTCTCTTGCTTCTTATCTGCAAAGATAAGATTTTTTTCCTTTCCTTTCCAGATGATTATAACAATAAATCTGACTTTGGGGGGCTCTTGCTCAACTGCCATTGGCCTGAACTTCAAAAGCTGGTTCAGGATATATGGATATGCTAAACACGTAGTGCAAGTAGAAATTCACATGTGTGACCTTTCTGTAATTTTTTTTTGCTGCTGAAACTAGGGTGATCCTCTCAAGCGGAAAAAAGAACACTGCTAATAACATGCTCCGTTCTGCATGTGTATGAGTCCTGGTATGGACTTGGCAAACGATCCTGTGAACTGCTACTACTTGCCATGCAGCTTTCAATAATTTTCACGTTGACAATTCTATTTAAGTAAGATTTTTTTCCCATTGATAGGTTTGCTTCTTTTCTTCTGATAAGTGATTTACAGATTGTTGCATGTAGTCTGGATGGTCATTTCTAGTGAAAGTCAATCTAACAACTAGAACTTACCATGGAAAGGATAATCAAACTAGTACTGTTACAAAAATCCTACATTCCTTTCTATAGGAAATATTGCTATGTGAAAGCTATGAACTTCATTTGAAATTAGTCTCTCATTTAAAAATAAATACTTCTGCCTGCCCTATTAAAAATAAATCTGTTCACAGATGTGAAAGCCTCACTTAGGATCTCTATTCATTTCTATGAGAAGCAAGAAGAGCATTCAATATAAAGGAAATAACGGTGGTTAGTCTAATGTATTATTACAGTGCAGACTAGAGGACATGGGTGCCATATCACCTTGCTTCCATCTTATTCCTCTAACTTATGCAGAGGACACTTCTTGAGCATCTGGAACTGTTTAAAGTAGTTTTCCAAAATTCAGAAACCAGCCTAAGCTGGAAGAAATTGCTTAGTAATACAAGGATTACTGCAGCTATAAAACATCCTTAGTCTCTTTCAGCATTAGGCTATTCAGCAAAATTATTTCCATATTTTATCTACCTCCCTTCTTGTTTCTAAAATACAAGTAGATCTAATGCTTGGCTTGACCAGGCATCTAATCAGGTGAGCAGGATAGGAGGCTCAAG